TATTCTTTGGGTCAGGGGCAAGGGGTGAAAGTATCATTGCAAGAGTGGCTAGCCCTGTCTTGGGATTTAGAACCAGAAACACTCTCAAGATGGCAGAGCCTTTAGAGTTTTGGGGGGCCAGCTCCCCATTGTGTGGATAGGACAACTAAGGCCTAGAGATAAGCAAGGAATTGCCTGAAGTAACTAGAACACATGCCACAAGACTTCCTGGGTGTGTTTCCTGTGCCTCAGTTTCCCTATCCATAATAAGGGTTACAGTTTTATAGCTGCACTATGTGCCTAAGCAATTGAGATGCACACATTATTGCACTGATGCCTCCAACAACCCAAAGAGATGTGTTATTACTTCTATTTTACTAATGAGGCAATAGGAGCAGAGCTGGGACTAGAACCAGGGGTTGTCTGAAACCTGCTCCACACTGCCACACCAGGGCCTCAGCCTACCTTGTGCTGACCACATCCCAGCCCAGGGCTCCCAGTGACGGAGGTGGGAGGCTGGAGGCCTACCTTAGATCCAGGGCCTTTTCTTTTTTTTTAAAGATTTTATTTATTTATTTGAGAGAGAGAGAATGAGAGACAGAGAGCACGAGAGGGAAGAGGGCAGAGGGCGAAGCAGACCCCCTGCAGAGCAGGGAGCCCGGTACGGGACTCGATCCCGGGACTCCAGGATCATGACCTGAGCCGAAGGCAGTCGCTTAACCAACTGAGCCACCCAGGCGCCCGATCCAGGGCCTTTTCAAGAGGTAAGCCTTGTCCTGGGCTCTTTGATTTTCTGCAGAAGGAGGAGGAGATTGGGGTGAGCTTTCCAGACCTAATCCATCTTTGCAGTATGGGCCACCTTTCCGGATCTGTCATGTTTCCACAGCTTTCTAGAGTCCAGGCACCCCTACCCCCACATCAGTAAAAGTCAACAGTGCCAGGTTTGAGGGAAAAGGTCAGGCTCACAGAATGCCTTCTCTGCCCAACTGGGGACTTCACCTGCTCCAGCCACTTGGTACCTGAATAACCCTGAGCCTTTACAGCATTGGAGAGATGGGCACTGGGCATCATGATTAGCTAGGAATGGAGTCTGGTCTTCAGATCTTAAGGTGGCATTTTTGCCACCAACTCGTGACTGGAAAAAAGTTCTACTGGCAAAGAGCTACCATTTCCTTAGTTCTCACCAAAGCCCATAAGTCTCTGCCAGCTTCTACCTAGAAACTTCATCCTCATCTCAATAAACTATGTTGGCCTTCTTCCTATCTTTGGGAATAGCATTCTGTCCCCAGGTCATCACATGGTCAACTACTTGTCATTCACATTTGTGTTCAAATGGCACCTCCTTGGAGAAGCCTGTCCTGCCCACCCACTTGAAGAAGTGCCCTCCCCCTTGCCGCACCACACCATGTCACCTTTTCTTTCTGGCACTTACCACTCTGAAATTATCTTATTTGTTCATTTATTTATGAGTTCTGTGTCAGCCCCAGGAGGGCAGGGAACCTCGTTCTTTCCCCTCACTGTTGGGAATAGTGCTTGGCACACAGAGGGGCTTGCTGCTTCATTAGTTGAAAGAGTGGACGCTAAGCCCAGAGCAGAGAACCCCACAACCTCACTTCATGGTGAAGACTGGGGGTCTCAAGTTTGGGGAGCTTGTTCTGGGACACACAGGTCTTGAGTCCTCTCCAGGTAGCTCAGGGAAAGCTCTCTTTCCCTCTGCCTGACAAAAGCCATTTGTAGCTAGCCTCAGAGCAATGTTTGGGGACACAGGCTCTGAGGACAGACAGACCTGGCCCTGGCCCTGCCCCTGACCAGCCCTGCACCCTTGCAGTAGTCCCATCGACCCTTTGAGCCTCTGGCTCCCCACCTGTAACACGGGGAGAGTATATACCTATCCCACAGCAGGGCCATTATGCATGTGTAGTGATTTAGCACATAGTCCGTGTTTAGGAAGTAGAAGCTGTCATTTTCCAGGAAGGTCCTTCGAGCTCTCTGAAGTCACCATGTACACAATGAAGCCAGAGGTGTTTATTTTGCACACACCCAGCGTGTGAGGACTTCCATAGTTCAGAGGTCCTAATGCCAAATGTAACCATCTACAGGATAAGCATCCACGGTGTGCCAGGGGCCAAACCACTTCAGTCCCTTGGGGGAACTTTAGTGCCTTCGAGTGAGTCCAAATGTCGGTCTCTCATCGGGCAAGCCTGGAGGTTTAAGTGCTGATGTTAATTATCCAACGCAGGGGAGATGGGGATCATGTCAGTGGAAAGGAGCCCACTGTGAGGTCAGCCTAAGCTCAGCCTGTCCCACAAACAATAGCACCCAGCTCCTGCCCTTCTTAGGAACCCTCAGTGGCTCTTCACTGCCCCCAGGATAAACTCCTCAGCCTGGCACACAAAGACCTTTCCAGTCACATTTCCCACCACACAGCCCCCGGTCTGTGTATCCTGACGCACAAGCCCACTAGTCTCTGGTTATTTCCCAAATACCTTCTGAGTGTTGGCCAAACGCTGGGGGTCCCACAGCGATGGAGACAGCTGCATCCCTGCCCTCTCGGAGTCGAGCGGTTACAGCAGCTGAGGGCCTTTGACATGCGCGCATCATCTTGTTGAGTCCATACCCAGCCCTAGGAGGCAGGGACCGTGATGACTGTATCCCCATTCTATAATGAGGACACTGAAGGGGTGCCTGGCTGGCTCAGTCTATAGAGCATGGGACTCTTGATCTTGGGGTTGGAAGTTCAAACCCCATGTCAGGCGTAGAGATTGCTTAAAGATAAAATCTTTTTTTAAAAAATGGGGACACCAAGGATCCATGAGGAGAGGTGACTTGCCCAGTGCTTCAGGTGGTGCTAGGGGTGCATCCCAGATGTACATGACTGGGAAGCAAAGAAAAGTCATAATGTGTGGTGGGTGTTGACAGAAGTATGGTGAGCACTTGGTGAGGGGCAACCTATTTAGTGATCTAATCTCCACTTGCCTCTCTGTGTGTCCAACTAGATTGTAAGCAATTTGAAGACAGACTGTTTTGTTACCTCTGTGTCCCCTCACATCTCCCCCTCAGGCCAGGCCCAGGGTCTGGGTGGAGTATTGCTTTGGCTTCACCATCGTGACCAGGCTGGGTGGAGAGCAGCCGGGCTGGTCACCAGCGCCGTCTTCCAAACTCTCCTTTGCCCACATTATATATGACCTCAGCAGATAATGTGGAAATGATCATGTCTATACCTGTGGATCCTGGCCTGGATCAAGTCAGAGCCTCCAATTCACTCTCCCTGTCATTCATTCAGCAAACATTTATCAAGCTAAGCCCTGTGGACATAATCAGAGGTAATCTTCATGTCTAGATTTTGCATGTGCTTTGTGGTCAGTAAGCTTGTAAACTACAATAATAAATAAAATAGGTCAAACAGTAACTCAAAACTCTGTAAGGTTTGAGCACTAGTAGTATGTCCTCATTTTTATATATAAGAAGTAGAGACTTTGAACTTTCAGCTGAGAAGCTGTTCCGTATCTGTTGGATGCCAATGCAGAAGCCCATCACCACTGCACCACACTGCCTCTTGAATGTAATAGCGACGGGGGAGGTGGAGCTTTAATTTACCTAGGTTACCCCAAAGGATGCACTCTATATTCTGGAAGAAATAAGTCCAAGTACTTCTCAGACCAAGATTTCATTTTTAATCCCTATGACTAGACCCTGAAAACTGCCCCTCTCCCCTTTAAGGACTTCTTCCTGGACTAAGGAATTAGGGGATGTATTTAAGGATAAGTGGTGGGGCCCCTGGGTGGCTCAGTCAGTTGAGCGACAGATTCTTGATTTCCGCTCAGGTCATGATCTCAGGGTTGTGAGCTCAAGCCCCATGTTGGGCTCCAGGCTCAGCATGGAGTGTGGGCTTGCCCCTCTCCCTCTGCTCCTCCCCTGCTCACATGCTCTCTCTCAAATAAATAAAATCTTAAAAAAAATAAATAAAAGGATAAGTGGCAATTGTGCATGCCCAACATGTTTGGTTATCAAGGAACCAAGTTTTCAGAGGCCCAGAGCCACACAGGACTGGGAAGGTGGCATGACAAATCCGGTCGTAGGCTTGGAAGCTAGTTGCTTTGCTGCAAGGTCCAGAGCGATCAGAGGCCAGTTAGGTACAGGTCTTCAGGTCCGTGCCCTTTGTACCACCAGGTGTGCCAGACTGCTTACAAGATACCATGGATGGGAAAGGACGCCTAGGCACTAATCCTGACGTCACGTTTATCGCTGTCCCAGATGCAGAGGTGCCAGCCTCAAGTCTGCAGATCTTCTGAACTATGTGAAGGTACTAGAGGCCGTAAAATATCCACATGGAAGTGAGGGCAGAGCTATCAAAATTCGACTCTGGTGGGACTCGAACCCACAACCTTTGAATCACCACACCAGGATCGGCTAAAAGTCCAATGCGCTATCCATCGCGCCACAGAACCGGCTACTTAAACCTCCCTCAGCTCACCTCCCTGCCTACACGGCCCTTTTAGCGTTCTTCTAGGTGTGGCGTTGGCCTCTGTGGAGCCCTGCCCGTCTCTGCGCGCAGACTCCGGATTCTCCGCCCACACTGCGGGCGGGGGCGCTCCCCACCACGTGCGAATGCCAGTGGCTTGCAGGCTCTGGGCCCATACCCAGCCCGCCCGTCTCCTTCCCTCCCGGGGGTCTCCGCGGCGGGGCGGGGCTGCGCAGCGCGGACTACAACTCCCAGCGTACCGCGCGGGGCGCCGCCCGGGGCCGTC